TAATTATTTTGAGCTTTTTCCTGCACTTTAAAAAAATGTTCTACATGAATGTGTATTTTATTATGTATTTCTGTCTTAGGGCTTGTATTATTCTTATTGGTTTGATATAATCCTTGACACATTTATTGGGGGAGGGGAGGGAAACAGATTGCACCCAACCTCCTCCTTGGTTGCTCCTAATTGTTGCATTGCTTCAGGGACCTGACATATTTCATTCTTTTCTCTAAGTATATCCTATGGCAGTGTTTCTCAACCTTGGCGACTTTAAGTCCTGTGGACTTCAATTCCCAGAATTCCCCAGCCAGCTATGCTGGCTGGGGGGTTCTGGGAGTTGAAGTCCATAGGACTTAAAGTCACCAAGGTTGAGAAACACTGTCCTATGGATTGTATTTCTGCTTCTACATATTCTTCCATAGATGCTGTCAGAGTTTGTTGCATGGATTCAAATCCAGAAAGTGCCCACAGATAACTGATGCAACTAGATTCATTAACTCCTTTATACACATAAGAATAGACGGATAAATGTACAACACCAACAGGTGGTTCTCCCAAGGAAACACAATGCAGGAGAGCTACAGGCAAACACCAACAGTTGGCTTCATTTCAGCAGACAAGCCCAGGCAGAGTGCTAGTTTACTTCTCAGAGCAGCAGGCTGCTTAAGTTTCTGTTTCAATTCTCTGCACAGACTCTGTTTAAACTCCCATAGGCTGACTTGGTTGCTGTGTCTGTTCATTGGCTGACCTTGTTCCCATGTCTCTCCCAGTCATGAATATTTTAACAGATGCATCTGTGGAGACTCTGATCTTAAAAGTGTTCTAGGTGAGAATTTAGGACTTCGTTTTTCCAGAGGTTTCTAGGAACGTCAATTGCTTCCAGATCTGGTCGCTTCTGGATTGGATATGAGTATGATGCCGAGGAGGGTGCATTTGTTTGGCATAACCCTAGCGTTCCAGCCTATCCTACGTAAGTGTATCACTTAGGTCTGTCTGTAGCTTGGAATGGCTTCACATCTGGGGCAGAAGGCAGATGATGCAGTGTGTGGCATCCTCAGAGCTTGGTGGTTTTCTTGCAGACGTTTCATGACCCATCTGGGTAACATCATCAGTGTTAGAAGGGGGGAAAAAGGATTGTGGAAAGGATCTAATTAGGTCATGAAATGTCTAAAAGAAAACAACCAAGATCAGAGAGCACCAAGGACCACAATCGTCATCTCCCTCCTCTTCCTCCCCCTGTAAACCCCTCTCCCTTCTAGCACTGATGATGTTACCTAGTTGGGTAATGTAATGTCTGCAAGAAAACAACCAAGCTCAGAGAGCACCTGGGACCCTGCAGTCTTCCTCCTCCTCCTCCCCCTCCTCTTTCCAAGCCTCATTCTTTCCTAGCACTGATCCTGCTGCCTACCATATTTTTCGGATTATGACGTACCTGACTATAAGATCCACGTAAATTTAGAAGAGGAAAAACAACAACAACAAAAGGTTTTTGGCCTCTGCATGCCTCATTTTTGGCCCTTGGAGGGGGGGGGGCTTTTTCTGGCCTTTTTCCAGCCTTTTTTCCTACCTATTTTTGAGGCTTTTTTGGCCCATTTTTAAGGAAATTTTTGGCCCATTTTTAGGCTTTTTTCAGCCTGTTTTGAGGCTTTTCTTGGCACATTTTGAAGTTTTTTGGCCCCTTTTTGTGGCTCTTTTCAGCCCATCTTTGGGGGAAAATGGGCCAAAAAAGCCTCAAAAATGGCTCAAAAAAAGCCTCAAAAACAGGTCAAAAAAAGTCCCGAAAACGGCCATCCGGAGGCCAAAAAATGGCTAGCTGTTGAGTGGGGCTTCAGCAATATTCAGTCTATAAGACACACAGACATTTCACCCCATTTGGGGGGACAAAAATGTGCGTCTTATAGCCCACGTAGTATGGTAGTTTGGGTAATGGAATGTCTGCAAAAAACTGCTGAGCTCTGGGAGCACCAAGGACCCCCCATTTCAACCCTCACATCTAACATTCTCCTTTATTGATGCAAAAGAGGGGGGGAGGGGGGTCATCCTATTCCCCAAAGCCCCTGAAGGCAGGACAAGAAACAATGGGTGGAAAATAATCCAGGAGAAAAACAAGGTAGAACAAAGGGGAAACCTCCTCACAGTGAGGACAACTAACCAGTGGAACAGCTTGCCACCAGAAAACATCACTGGGGGCTTTCAAGAAGAGATTCTCTGGAATGGGATCGAGTGTCCTGCTTGAGCTTGAGAACGTGTATAGGGTCTCCTGCTCGGGCAGGGGGTTGGACTAGAAGACCTCGGAGGTCTCTTCCAGCTCGGTTGTTCTGTGAAAAGGATCTGACTTTGGTGCGGAGGACTGACGGCTGTTGTTCCTTCTTTTCAGTTACTGGGCTGATGGGTTCCCACAGCGTCCGAAAGACAGACAGTGCGTCCTAATGGCCAGCAGATGCCCAGAGCCTTACAAGTGTTGGGCGAATTACCCATGTCATGAATACCAGAAGGGCATTTGCAGGAAATCCCCGGAGTTGAAGTGGCTATCCTAGCTCCTGGCCGAATGACGGGGGAAAACATCTGGTTCGATCAACTCAGGGAGAAAAATAAAGAGAACGCAAAAACCGCCACTTAGAAAACAGCAGCCCAAATCAGGACTTCAACGTCGCTTTCGAAATCTCTTCTCGGTCCTGTTTTTTTTTTCCCCAGATGAAAAAGACTGTCTTATTTGGCAACTTCAAGGGCTGGTAAAAAAAAAATGGAAAAAGTATCTGTCTTTTCTGTTTTCATCCTTTTTTTTTAAAACAACCATTTTCAGTTTATTCAAAAGGAGTTGTACGGTGGCCTAGAGGTGGCGCTCTCGCCTCCCCATCAGGAAGCTGTGAGTTCGATCCTCAGTAGCGGCAGATATTTCTCTCTCTGGGCACACTGAGATTGTATCTGCCGAACAAAACTCCGCACTGGCGACAGGGAAGGGCATCCGGCCCTTCTGCTAGCTCCATTCAGTTGCCCAGACTCTGGGGACCCTACCAAAGGTTGCAAGGGTGAAAAACGGTCATCGGTTGCTTTTTTAAAGTGCTGTTGTAACTCTGAATGGTCAGTAAGTGCACTAAGTGTAAGTGGAGGACTATCCATATTCTGTGACTCAATCCCTTCGGGAAGGTAGGTAAGAAGGAACCAAGCCATCGAAGGAAGGAAGGGAAAAATATACCAGTGAACCAGTCAAAGAAAACTTTCTCTAGATCCCATCAACAGCTACCTGTTCTGATCAGGACTTCCCCAAAAAGCAGGAGGCAGAGTGCTGGTCCCGACAAACCCCCTTTTATTAGAAGAATTTGAATTCCTCTCCTTCACCTTCAGCCAAGGCCTGGTAAAGGAATATTTATGACCACAGACCTTATCTATCTTGGAAAGCTGCCATGTGAATATTTTCCAAATGAGAGGCTGTGCAAGGAAAGGCTGGGCACAGAGTCTCTGAGATTCAGGGACAGATCTTCACACTCCTGAAACGAATGAATGAGCGAACGCATTGTTTCCTGCAAAAGCCCCCTCCCCTTTCGCTCCTCTTTTATGTCCTATGGGAGGGGCCATTCACCATCCACCTGTGGCCTTACTCCCAAGTCGACCCCTGTTTTCTTAGCTGTTCCTTCTGGCAGCTTGGCGCATGCGCACACTGGGAACAGGCTCCAGCTGTTCCTCTGCCTCACTGCTGTCTCGCTCCGTAGGCAGCTGAGAACTGGCATATGGCCCTGGCACCCTCTCTGCCTCTGACACAGAGCCCTCATCCGAGCCTTCCCCAGCCTCCAGGACTGGCCCATCTTCCTCCCCAACATCTTCACTGTCCGACTCTGCTACCAGCTCTGCTGGCTGCTAGCGGGCCACAACAGTTATTAAATTTATGGTGTCCTTGGTGCTCTCTGAGCTGGGTTGTTTTGTTACAGACATTTCATTATCCAACTAGGTAACATCATCAGTGCTAGTGAGTGTGACTTACTCCATTTTAGCTTGGTTGTTTGCTTGCAGACGTTTCATTACCCAGCTAGGTAACATC